CATGATATCAGAGCCTGGAAAAGTTACTTTTGCGACCAACTCATTGGAAAATGGATGGACTGTATTAAGGAGGCCATGACTATGAATTTATAGGACCTAAGCAGAGCAGTGGGGACAGAGAGTCTTGGCAATGTCTCATCCACAGGGTCCTCATGAGTCAAAGGTGGTTAACAACAACTATATATTTGAGTTCGATATTTTTTATCTTTTTCACCTGTCCAATACATATGATAAAAAGTTCTTTCCTGTTTATTACATTTCCAGCATAGATTTGATAATCTTTTATACATCCTAGACAATTTCTCTGGTGTCATGTGCCAATGATATATAATTTTAGCAACATTCTCTTTAAGATCATAGCATCGATTTCAGACCTTTCAACCACATTCTTTCCCACTTGTCCATTTGTATATTATATTCAAAATTTCTAGCCCATTTTACAATACAGTCCTTAAGTTGTTCATCTTCCATCTCAATAAAACTTTATACATTTTACCAGTCATTTATTCATCATTTATACATAGATGCATTTCAAATCCAGACATAGGTGCAAAACACACTACAGAAATAATCCAGTTTGAGACCATTTTAACTGCCCTGGCTCAGTGCTAGGGAATTCTGGGAATTATACTTTTGTGAGATATTTAGCCTTCTCTGTCAGAAAGTTCTGGTGCCACAATAAACTACAATTCCCAGGGTTCCCTAGCACTGAGTCAGGGCACTTAAAGTGCTTTCAAAATAGATTATTTCTGCAATATGTTTTGGACCTTAGCCAATTTATAAAACCATAATTTTAAAGATGCAGTTTAACTTTTTCAAACAACTCCAAGTAAGAAAACTACTGACATCCATATTCATCCAACATTTAATGTTCTTTTGATTTCATAGTGTATTCTTCTTGACAAATTTCAAGTGTCTAGGTACCTTAACCATTTTTGTCTCTTTTCTATAAAAGTCATCTTGTGAAGAAATCCATAATGGCATTTTCAGATATAACCTAGATTTAAATTTCATCCATACTCTCAATAGAGCATGTCTCGCATAATGATTATTAAAATCCACATTTACCTTAAGCTGATCATACCATTAATAATAATAATAATAATAATAATAATAATAATAATAATAATAATAATAATTGTATTTATACCCCGCCTTTTGCTGAAGTAGTCAAGAATTATCCATGCCATCCAAATTGGAGGTCATATTCGATTTCTAACACTCTTTTTTGTTAGCTTTGTCCATTATTTTAGCCACACTAAACAACATATGACAAAGTATTATTTCAAATGTGGTAATCTAAAACCACCTTCTTGCTTGGCATCTTGCGATATTTTCATGTTCATGCTCAAAAGAGGCATTTCCACGGTCTGCACTGCAGTAGTGATGATAAATGAATTCAATCTATTTTGCAAAACAATTCCCCATCACCTGGATGTTAAAATACAACTGTCTGGGCACACTGAAGCAGCCTATATATATATATATATATATATATATATATTGACAGACATTCTGTAATGGGTCTAGTTTTGGCTCATTGGACCTTGGCAATACCTACAAGGGCTTGTTCCAAAATGCCTTTGTCTACAGATTGGAAAGTTGTGTGTTAAAGTAAACTCCTGATTAGTTAGGGAAGCAGTGCTAGATGAGCTCTATTTGTGTGTGTAAAAAAGCTAGTGGCTAGGTATAGTCTTATTTCCAGGTTCCTATGAACATTCTGTCACTCCAGAAAAGCCAGACACAGATAATCATCTTCCCAGTTGTCTTGGAGCAAATGTCTGCAGCCTGGGATTGTTTTAATTTTTTCCCCATGGGATGAATGAGGATGCTTCAACCTACATTCCACAATCTGCCACTTGACCATTATCTGCACTTTCTAGTGTTCATACAATATTTTTGCATTCAGAGATAAAAGATTTCTTCCCTTAGCATTTATGATGCAGCACTCTAAAGGCTGCATCATATAGATTATAGCAGAGCCTTTGATTGTATAAATCATGAAAAACCATGCACTGCTCTTTAAAAATGGTTGTGCTACAACATTTGACTGTCCTGATGTATTGCTTATACTCAGGACAAGAGGCTGTTAGGACAGAATACAGAGAAATTGAATGGTTTCCAATTGGGAAAGGGGTTAGGCAAGGCTACATTTTATCACCTTATCTGTTTAATTTGTATGCTGAACATATCATATGTAAATCCACCTTGGATCCCATTTTGGGAGAAAGAAATGTAATAAATAAATAAATAGAAAAATTAGACTCAGAGGAAGGAAGATCAACAGGTTAAGATATGCAGATGTCATCATGCTACTAGCAGAAAATAGCAAAGAGTTAGGACAGTTATTGAAGAAAGTTAAGAAAAAAGTGCAAAGTTACAGTTGAATATCAAGAAAACAAAAATAATGGCTACAGATGATTTATATAACTTTCAAGTAGATGACGAAGACATTGAAATACTGCAAGTTTTTCCATTCCTTAGCTCAGTTTAAGCAGAAGGTAGACTGCATTCAATAAATCAGAAGAAGACTAGGACTTGGAAGGGCAACTATGAAGGAACTGGACAAGATGTATGGTTGTGAAAGCTGGACAGTGAAGAAAGCTGATAGGAAGAAAATCAACCCATTTGAAATGTGATGCTGGAGAAGAGGTCTACAGATACTGTGGACTGTTAAGAAGACAAATAAATGGCTACTAGAGCAAATCAAGTCTGAACTCTTCCCAGAAGCCAAGATGATTAAACTGAGTCTGTTGTACTTTTCATGAGAAGACATGACTCACTAAAAAAGATAATAATGCTTAGTAAGGTAGAAGGCAGTAAGAGGAAGTCCACATTCTAGATGGACAGACTCAGTAAAAGAAGCCACAGCCCTGAGTCTGTAAGAACTGAGCAGGACTGTTGATGAGAGGGTGACTTGGAAGTCTTTCCATGGGGTCACCATCAGTAGAAGTCAACTAGATTGCACTTAACAACAAAAACCCTAAGGGCAACACATCCCATCTGATATTAGAGGCTAAGCAGGAGCAGCCTTGGTTAGTACTTGATTGGGAGATCACCAACAAATACCAAGTGCTATAGGCAATATTTCAACAGAAGGAACTGGCAAAACTACTTCTGAATATTCCTTGCCTAAGAAAACCCTATTAAATTCATGGGGTCGCCATAAATTGAAAGTGACTTGAAGGCAGAGAAAGAGAGTTGACAGAAGGTTTTAAAAGAGAGGTAACATAATGAAAGGATAGAAATATTTACTTGTTTTACATACAATGGTCAGGTAGGGATTTTTTCTATACCTCCGAAAGGTCATAAAAATGATTATGATCTGAATACTGTGATCAAGAGCAGGTTAGACAATATTATCTAGACAAAATGTAGTTCTAATGGAGGAGATCAAATACTAAAGCAGGAAAGGGGAAACTTTGGGCCTAAGCAGACTGCCAGAAATAGTGCACATTAAATTGAGGCACTGCCCTGGCTCAGTGCTAGGGAATCATGGGAACTGTAATTTATTGTGGCACCAGAGCTCTCTGACAGAGAAGGCTCAATGTCTCAGAAAAAATTGACCATGTCAGCTGGGATAAAGAAAAGCTGAATCTCAGGGCTAGGGAAAAAGTGAGATATAAATATAACAGATATCATCATCATCATCTGTAGGGTCACCGTTCCCTGCCCATGCACTGGAGGAGGAAATATAGCTTTGCCAAATTGTGAAATATGGAGAGGGAAGGGGGGGACCCAGTATTGCCAACTGACAAGATTCCTATGTGCTTCTCATTGTGTACATTGTGCCCAATCTCTAATCAGAGTTCATAAAGTTTACTTTTGGGGGCTACTGGCCATGCTGGGAGTTGCAGATGAAAAAAAAATGACTTTTCTAAACTCTGTCTTGGATGCTAACCTGAAACCACTCCTCCACAGTTTGTAGGGTGAAGGCCAATAGGGAAGAGATTAAAAAAGAAAGCTGGCAGAGAGGCATACAACAATACCCTGAGATGCCAGGAAGCATGAGTCACTTAGATATTTGATGAGGGCCTGATCCTACAAACAAGGTACACAGAAGCTGTGGGTTTGTTTGCTAGGCTGCTAGTAGGGAATGTGAGGTAGGCGGAACCAGATTATCCTGCCTTGCTAGCTATGCTGCTAGATGGTCAAGCCATTTCACAGAAGCAAATGAAACTATTAATACAAATCATAAAGTGGCTGGTGTTTCTCCTGTACTAGCCTCTGTTAAAGAGCACAAGTGTGAGCTATCTTATTTGTGAGGTATTGTATTTTGACATTCAAGCCAGCCTTCTGGGAGCAGCACTTTTAAAACAAAAGCTATGATCCCAGTTCTCAGAATTTTTTTGAGGATCTTGGCTCTTAAAATGCAGCATTTCTTCTGACTTCAATGACAATAGTTCCAAAGTACATTATGCCCCCTTGTGATGTGATTTGTAGAATGCAATTCCAACACCCTCTGGTGACTGAGCTAAATTTGTGGCTATTTCCTTTTCCTGAAAAGGCAAAAACCAGTTGAACACATGTATTAAAAATACACATTTCAAGATGCTACTATTAAAAAGATGCTACTACTGTATTAAAAAGCTCAATGCCTTCCAACATTTTAAGGCTTTCTTTTGGAGGTAAAAAAAAATCTACTGAAATTTCCAATGAAAGAATTTCCAACAAAACTTGAAATTGACTGAGATCATATGAATGGAAACCTATAGTCTCTAAATAAAATCTATAGCTTTCTATTTGTATTGGAGACCCCATCGTCAGAGATTTCTGCAAATTCTTTGATCTACTGAAGAAAGCCTCAAAATATCAACGTGCCAAAAATGCTTTGAGTTTTCAAAATAAAATAAAATAATAAATATATTGTTACTGTTATCCTTATTGACATCCCATGTTTCTGCCAAGCTGGGACTCCAGGCATCTTACAAACTAAAATAAATGGAATATAGTTAAAACATATAAAAGGTCAACTTTAAAAGCAGGACTATTAAAAATGAGCCAGTGTGGTGTAGTGGTTTGACATTTGAACAAGAACTCTAAGAAACCAGGGTTCAAATCCCTGCTCAGCCCTGGAAACCGACTGGAAATGATTTGAAGGCACACAATAACTATTAACAACAGTACAATTTAGAATACAGGTTCTCAACATCCTCTTACCTTCCACTACATACCTTTTCTTTCCACCCTATGCTTATCTCCTACCAATCTTCACTACTTTCTCTTTCCCTCTCTCTCTCTCTTCCTTCCTTCCTTCTTTCTCTCTTCTTACATTCACCCCATTGTATGAACTTCCTGTATACCTTACTTCACTGGATGAGGAGTGTTAATATTGACCTCCTTATTCCTAATGCTTATGTTCATCTTTCCATATTAATTCTTGCACAATCATTGCGCAGTGTATATTTTCCCTCTTATATATAGCAGCGCTTTTGTTATTGTACCTTGTGTGAATACCTCCATATATTTTTGGCAATATTTTCACAATATTTGTTG